TTTTCGCAACTCTGCGAAGTGCGCCTTATGCCTCGAAAAATAGGGTGGCGCACTTGTGCTTCTACGAACTAAAGTAGTGGAAATGAGTACCTGCACGATCACTTGGTGTTGATGCACGACTTCCATTTTCGCTCTTTCGTGCGTCATCGTCTTCTAACTTCTGTTTCTTCCGTTTCGTCTTAGCAGCACTTGCCTCTTGTATGTCTGCTTTCGCTTTGGCGATATTCGCTTCGGTCAACGGCAGGAACATTTCAGGGCATTTTGACTGATGAATTCGCTCGTCGTATCTTTTATGCCAACCCTGGTAATGTACTGTATACACCATTTCACCATGCTCTTCTTCGACATCGGTTATTTTTGCTTCATAGAAGAACAATCCATGCTTGCAGAGCACCTTGTCGTTGACCTCGTACCTTATGGCCCTTGGAGGCATACCTGAAAATGCACAGGAATAAAATTGTGTTCGCCCCATAGTCCGAGGAGCCAAAACGAAACATCAAGAAAAGGGGCAGCATTTGGATAAACCATTTGTTAGGTATGTTACTAAAGTAATATTCGCTTAAAATCAAAGCTCAAATCGGCGAAGCGAGAAGTAGAGAAGGGCGAAACGGATCAATGCATACATTTCAGTACATTTCGTCTAACAACTTACAACTCAACAACTCGCGTTGACAAATGGTTAGGCAGCGTTCAGACTTCGCGATGACGCTCGTTTCAGCGCGTCGACGCCCCCCATTGCTCTGAACGCTGGCTGGGCCCTGTGTCGCAAAACACGTTAAGGACTAGTTCCCCAAGTCAGTTAACCATGCTGTCACCAATTGCGATAGCATCCGGTGCTAACATGCGTATACTCCGTATCTCAATAATGGAGTGGGCGTGGTTACTCATGTCGCTCGAATTTGAAGACGACTGATGACAGCTGTCTAATGAATAGATCTCACGAGAAACGCTTTCTCAATGAAATGCGTAGCCACGTCCTGTTCATATTAGGTATATGTAGTGTGGATGAGCGGAGCCACGCTGCTGCGCCTCAGCGTCCATTCCCCCAACCAAGGCTCAGAGCGCAGGCAGACAGGGTCACCGCGGATAGCTCTTAAACTCTTGCACAACACAATCTTTACACAATTCTGACCATTTGCGCTCTAATCTCAACTTAAACGACATGTGCTAAGGACCAACCCCCCCCTCTCCCCATCAAACCCTTGTATAGAGGAAGGGACACGCTGCCATTTGGCCCCGCTCAACTACGTTCAGCACACTAAAAACTGTGAAAGCAGGGCTTCTAATACAGCGTCCGCGATTGACCAACCTGGACGGCAAGGCACATTCCGCAACTAGCAAATGTCAAATGCAGCAAATGGATGTCCTCCCTTCGTGGCTCAAGTCGCTCGATAACAGTGTCAAGTTTTGCCACGATTTATTGTCTCCGCCCACTCGTTTTGCGACCTCCACCCCTACCATGTCATTCCATTAGATAGGGGTGCGGTTTCCATGATTCGTGTAGTCTTTTGTCACACCTTGTCCGTTTCTTCTTTTTTTACACCCCTTTTGTTATCCGCATGGGCAAGAGTCCCTAAACCATACGAACATCGTTTTGAAAGAGCACCCCATGTACTCACCACACCCCATGGACAAATAATAACCATGGTCTCAAGAAGAAAGGAAGAAAAACAAAAGTAATAAGCTCATAAGGGAGCAGTTCGGCTCAGAGGCACCGAATGGTACTCAGCTAAATTGTGCAGACCAATCTACAGGATGTGAAAACCTGTAAGTCTCTATGACGAGATCCCTCTGTCGCATCATTTCGCAGCTTCACAAGTAGTTTTAAAGGTCGTTCAGCATGACCTAACAGAAGGAACTAGCGAAAGTGTAAAATGCCCCTTCAAACGACAGCGCCCTCATAAGCTTGAAAACAGTAAAACGTAATGATGGTTGATCAGCATGAAATTCAAGAGGCCGTGCTTAGAGTGCCTTTCATTTACACTCGTCTCAGTCCGAAGCACACAACCGGCAGCGACCGAATCTTCAGCGAATCTGCACTACGGAATGGCCACTTTTTTAAGCGCCTACTCTGCTGTTTCTGTTGGAGTTTATCCACAATATTTACAGAGTTTTTTTCAATAGGCTCAATCACAAATTGAAACTTATATGTAGCACACACCGAATATTTCGATGTGAAAAGCGAAGGCGTTTCCCAATGTGAGGTGTTAAGCAAAGATTACGCTTATACATTCCAGAATTGATTGCTGACAATGAGCTGACAATGGATCGATACACACTCATACCTCTATATCATCGGCAAGATCTTAATCAAAAGTGCATAAATCTGTTGAATCAGGTACGTTAGATATGTAATACATGTAGGATTCTTAATTGAAAGAATCAGGCGCTGTTCCAGTAAGGAGGGACGCCACGGCACACAGTGCATCGAAAACCACGCCTCTTCGCATGTAATGCCGCGTTCATACATGATGCAGAAATGCCGAACCACGGAATGTGCGGAGCTGGGGAATTTGCAGAGCATGCGAGAACCGCGGAACTTGCAGAAGAAGAAAATGTGTCTATCGATTTCAAAAACCGCGGAATATGCAGAAATGCAGAAGTGCGGAATGTGCAGAAATGCCGAAATGCAGAAATTCCGCTGGTGAGGCTAAGCGATCAATCCCTATCAGGTCATTGTCCGTCATTTCGGCATTTCTGCAATTCACCGCGGAATTGGGAGAAATGGCAGAAAATGCGGAATCTGCAGAATCTGCAGATTCTGCATTTCTCCCAATTCCGCACGACGGCAGGAACGAAGCGATCGATCCCTATCACTTCTTTGTCCGTCATTTCGGCATTTCTGCAAATTCCGCGGAATTTGCAGAAATGCGGTTTTCAAATCGATGCGTATACATTTCCTGTCTGCAATTTCGTCATTTCTGCAACGTCGTCATGTATGAACGCGGCCTAAGGGGCTCCAATTGGGGAACCTTGTATGTTGGGGATCCCCAGCGGGGGGTTGAATGGGTCGTTGGAGGAAAGGAAGAAGCGACCTCGGGGAAATATATCGGTTGCTTTCTTTTTTCGCTTTTTCCTGCTTCGAGCGCGCTCCTCCACTCGACGATAGTTCCCCGGGAAGAAGTAGAGCATTTCCTGGGAAAAAAACGCCAGAGAACTGGAAAAGTGGTTGAAAGTTGGGAAAATTCGAAGAGAGAGTAAACGGAGGTAATGGTAAGAAGTGGAGAGGGATGGGTATGGGAGCTCATACCCGAGGAGGTAATTCCGAGGGGAGGAGGGTCGTACTTCGCAGATTTTCCCCGACGGTAAGGTATGCCCTGGCTCAAGTGTCCCATAAAGAGAGCCAAGAAAGTGTCACAAAGAAGTTGAGCGATGATTACACTGTCGACTGTTTATTTTTGAATAACTCAAAGGCAAGTCGGGCTCAAAGATGGGAATTGTGCGACTCAAATACGACTGATAGGGTGGTGAGTAATTCAGTAGTGAAGAGTAGGAACCATCCGAAATGCTCACTATAGAACCTCATGCGGAAACGCATAAGTTAGTGCGTAAGAGGAGGCGTGGTTGGACGAGTTCTCACTTGTTGGTATCGTCAGGATATCAGCTCTTTTCTCTTATCACTTCACTATCGCCATTCTGTATGGAAAGACTTAGTAGCGGAACAATCTTACCACGAGGAACTTTAGTAATGGGTGCTGGGAGCAGCATAGGGCGGTGGGCGGCGCAGTATTTCGCTCACGAACGCGTAACGTCCTTATCACGTATTTCTAAAACAGGTTGAAAAAAGGCACATCCTCGTTTTTTGCGAACCTACTACATTGTTAAGGGAGGCGTCTCAAAATAAAAGAACGCGGAGCATGTCTTTGAGGTGACATTTATGCAGTCTTTATTCCTGTAAGCGAGTGGGCGTGTGAAAGGAGAGGTGGTGGTTTGGAACAAAGCCAGGGCAGCTTTTCCCACCAATTGTAGCGACCTCAGGTGGCTCAGCCCATCTTCCTTGAAACAGTACCGACTGATTGCTGTGATATGAACTGTACTTACATCTGGAATGAATCTGCTTCCAATTTATCGTCCTGCAGAGGAGAAGGCTTGGTTGACCTGGGCGGGAATCGATCCGCGACTTGACCCCCGGACCGCGCGCGTGGTAAGCGTGCCACTTGCTACCACATACATAGAGACCGACAAAGTGATGTACAAATTCGGTGATTCATGAAATAGAATGCTGTCACTCACTTTGATAGGAATGGCCTCGCAGTGATGGTGCCCGAGAACATTCTCAAGCAAAATCGTGTCGCCTGACTCCGCCTATGTCGTTCCTTTTCATAGAAAACAGTACTGACAGGCTGATCGGCCATGCACGGATATGTCTCCTGCCGAACAGGTACGCATTGCTTCTAAGAA